GTAGTTTTCAGATCATTTTTAAGTCGTTCGATAGCCCCATGAATTTACTTCAAAATGATGAAAATCAGAACTCTCTAGCCCATTTCGATCAAACGTTATTCAGAAAACATCCGAGTGCACTACTTTTCTACTACGGTCCTAGCTTATGAATACAAGTTAGACAATAAAATGTCACTTTATTTTTCTCAATGGTAGTTGATTATTGAAGTGTATGGACTAACATTGCCATTTATGTACAAGGACAATATATTATTTAGTTTTTTTCACTTGGGCACAAAAATATTCTTTTCTCTTGAAAAAACGCGGTATATTGTTATTTAGGAAAACATTTTGTTGTTTTAGTATAATAAATTCAATTTTGATTATACGTGGAAAAGTGATGTAGAATATGACCATGACTATTTTTTTGCTTTTACTTTGTTGATTAGGCGTTAGTGTCAGTATGATAAATGTGTGAAGTGTTTTTCTTCTTTCTAAATATATAGAATAGATAATGTGGCAATAATAGACTACTGATGTTTGTTTTTGATCTGAAATAAACAGAGAGAAAAACTATTTAAGTAATTTTATCGTTATTTATCCACATTTAAATATTTTTTGTAACTGAAGATTTTCTTCTATCTAATAGTAAGTATCGTTCGACTTTGTGCGTCAGTAGTGAGTGCATCCTTTTTCATTAAGTTCGACTTTTCTTTATTTTCTCGAAAATCCGTATGTGTGCCGACAAGGTCATACATGATTGAACCGACTAATAATCATTGTTGCGATCGTTAATAAGGTTATTGTTAGTATATCGCTGATTTTTTTTATTATCCAATTTTTAACAAAATGTTTGAATAATTATCAACTGAATAGTTCTCTTATCAAGGATAAACGCAGCTTATACATGTAGATGAATATTGAATTTTGACATTGAATTCTGCATACTATATTGTTTTGATATAAAGCGAGAAAAAAAAAGAAAACTTTAATGTATAACTTGCTTTTGTCTGTGTACTATAAAACATTTTTCTTTTCTTTTTTTTTATCTTGTATTGTATGTATGTGTAGAAAAAATTTGATTATGCAAGTATAATGGCAATGAATGAGTAGTAGTAGTAGTAGTCGTAGTGATAGTAGTACGGGTACGCCATATGTAAAAAAAGAACTGATCGTTGATATATATATATATATATATGTATACATTAAACTATCATCTTTTATTAGTAGATAAATATGAATTGATGTCGATTAATGCATATGACAATAATGTAATAACAGTGAGAAAATGACACGTATTGGAAATCAATTGTTTATACATATAAAAATTGTATGTTGTTCTATACTTTATACCATACGCATGACTATGTAATTATTTTATTCTAACAGACAACTCAGAAATGATTGTTATTATTCTCTTATAAATACGATCTTTGTATGATCGTTAAATGAACTTATTAGCAAATTTTTCCATTTTTTTTTCAGAACAAACTCGTGTTAGAAGAAGACATTATTTCAATACAGTGAGTTTTTTGCTTAGCAGAAAGTATTCTCGAAAATATTTAAAAAAAAAGTGAAGGTTGTATAAACATGTCAGATTTATGGCGGATATGACAAATCCGTTACGTTAATATATCACTGCTACACCAACAATAAAAAATGCGAGAAATGACGTTTATTGAATGAAAATAATATTTCTGTTTGTAACGGTAAACTGAAACAATCGTACACATGTATATGTGAAGAATTTTAAAAGAAAAAATTTTTAACTCTTTTTTTTTTTGTAATTTTTTTACTGATTACTCTCGTATTTTCAGAAGCTATTTTTTTGTGCATTGTTTTCCACATTTAAAAAAGATCAGACTATAGAAATGTTACGAATAGAATAAGTAGAAAATAAACGGAGTGTTGACAACTTATCAGAGTCATGAAAACATTTCTGTTACACCCATCATCTATAACTCGTAAACATTTTTATCTGAAAGATTACAAGTGTAAACTACGAGAATCAAATCAACTATTACATATATATTAGATCATGTCTAGTGTTCTATATATTCCCCTTAAATTTGTATACAAATATATTTTCTTCTGTATTTCTTTGAAGGCAAAAAAGTTGTTACGCAATTAATCTCATATTAGATTCTACGTTAAAAGTTATCTAATCATCAGAGTAGATGAAAAAAATATATAAAGTTAATTTTGTATATATATTATTGTTTTTCTTCGTCTTTTCAAATTATTTCAAATGATATTACAACGAACATGTGATAGTTTTAGCATAGTCTGTCATAATATGTTGTAGTATCGTAAACTCGTTGTACTATCGACTATAGTTCGTTACATTAATATGTTTTTATTATATTGATATTTATAGAAAAATCTATAGTGTTAAAATGACGTGTGTATGTTTATATTTCTATTAAAAGTCGATTAATTGCTGTAATTTGATATTCAACACATGATATTAAGGAAACATGCCGTTTCCTATCTTTTGTTCAGTTGATTAGAATAGAAAAAATGAATCGAATATAATAATAGATGAACTAGAAAAGATAAATGTTAAGAAAGGTTGTACACGCGTAACATGTGTATGAAAGTCTTTTATATAAAAGAATATTTCCATTTTTCTTTTTGTTGAACAAAAAGTCATTATAAATACATTCTTCTCTTTTCTTCTTCTTTAAGGTTCAAAGATGGAAAGAGAGCATTTTTTTTTTTGAACAAAAAAACAACAACAATAAATAATAACAGTCGGAAGTGTACTGAGGTGTTGTTTTGTATTCTATACATTAAGTAATCATAAGTGATAGATTGATGAACATTCGAATCAAAAAAGATTGTTTTTTTTCTCTTGTTTTTTTTGCATTCAAAGAAAAAAGCAAATATAGGTCATCATGTTCTTTATCATGTATTTTTCTTCTGATTTCATCATCTGTACGGTTGAAAACAGCAAGCGAGGGAGAAAAATACATATATATATGTATATATGTATATCTATATAAGTCAACTCATTTAATTCAATCACTATAAATTAGTAGTAGATGGAGAAGAATAAGGTCTACACATGTATGTAATTGTACACGTAGCCTAAGGACAAATACTTTGTCATTTACTTAGATAATTACAAATAGGCAATAAGATCATTATGTCTTTTAATATTAATCCGTGAGATGAACTTACGAAATAGGAGTTCATTTTGTACTGTAATACAGGAGAAAAGAAGAAAAAAAGATGTTTTTCTGTTGATGAAGTTTTTTTTTTTGATTAATCAAATTTGCTTGTAAAACAAAAAAGATTATGTTAAAGAAACAATGAATCGCAGTGTTATGTCAATTTTTTATGTTTCAAAGTCTTTTAATATTATCAATGGTGACTAACTTTCAAATAATAGTATTTTTTTTTTTATCTAAAAACACAGAACACTTATGTCTAATTTAAGTGATAAAAACACAAATAATAAAAAATAGACATTCTCAATAGATCAATCTAAATACTATTATAAAACAGGAAAAAAAAATTAAATATTATCGATAATAAATTGTATAATATTTTGTTTTCTTTAGGAAAACAAATAGTTTCCTTGTACAATGGTTTTATACTAGTGCAGTGATATTATTTCTTCTGTTTTTGGTAGATAAAGTGAACGGGAAGACGATTGCATGTATATAATCTGAAATGAACAGTTGTATGGTTCACGAACAATTAGAGTCCTTCAACATTCATATCTCAAACATCTCAAATGTCGTATCAACAGAAAATGACTAAAGAATTTCTTTTTTTTTTCTTTTTGCATATTTATATGGAAAAAAAATAGAGTAAAAGACAGGTGATTTTTTCTTTTTCATTTTCACTTATTTTTGAAGTACTCTGCTTGATTAAGTAGAATATATGAAAGAGTTCAGATTGAGAAGGTCAAATTCGATAAAATATTTCCAGCAAAATTTTTATATAAGAACGAGTAGTATCGTATTTGTAAATGTTTTTTCTACGATGTTCAATTTTTTAAAGTGAAAAATTGTTTGAAACGATAACATTTAACGAACAATTGATCTCGAAAGAAAAGAAATGGACGTTTTTCTAAACATCTTATTGACGACGAATAGTTAAAAATCCTTGTTTCTAATGTGTTGAAGTGTATTAGTGTTAAATTGAATGAACTTTAAGAAAACAGATAGTCTTAAATATCTGTTATCTCTGATTTTCTTTTGATAGATATTTCTTGATATTGTTGTCGTTTTCTTCAGTCTCTCAACGTATCATATGTTTTATAGACGCACGAAATGTCTTCTATTTAATCGATTCTAATTCACTTTATTATAACTGAGCAATTAATTCAATTAGACTTTTTTTTTTTTCTATGATTGTTTTTTTAGATCCATTGATTTATCTTTTCTATTTTTTTTTTTCTTTTGTTCTATCTTTCATAGATTACGTGATAATATAGTGTTTTATCGTGTTTCTTAAATATGTTTCATGTAAATCAAAATTCTTTTACTCGACAATTCATTTGGATCATATGTTACTAGCTAGTCGTTGAAAAAGAAGAAGAAGACGAAGCATAACAAAAAATAAAATTATAGAAAGTGTGTGACGAATCGTTAAAAAGTAGATACGATTTTTATTTTTAATAATCTCGTTTATTTGTTGTTTTTATTTCTTATTTCTTTTTTCAGGAAAAATAAAATCATTCATCAATAGTTTTACAAAGTGGCGAACACTATTAATAACCATGTTCATCACTATCAACATCAACCACAAAGACAAAATTCATTTACAACAACTGAAACATTACCAAAACCAAAAAAGTTTGTTTTATCATCGGCATCACTCTCATCATCACAATCAATATCAGATGAAAATGAATCAACATCAATACAATCAAATTTTACAGCAACAACAACATCGAACAATATATCTGAGACAGTTCGAAAAAAATCGACAACAATGCCCGCTTCATTCGGATTAAAACAAAATAATTTATTTCCAATTAATTTCAATAATCATAATACAAATAATAATCATATTGTATCATCATCGACATCTAATAATAATAATAATAATAATAACAATAATAATAATAATAATTCGACTAAATCAAAGCTTATCTATCGTATGATGTCATTACGTCGTTCATCAAATAAACCATTACCTCTTAATTCATCGCCACCATTTTCGACTATTCGTACATATTCAACACCATCTACTCATTCACAAATTCAATCTTCATTACCACCACAACCATCTTCATCCATTTCATCTACATCGTCTGTAAGATCAGCTACGTATCATGTTCGAGCATTTGAATTAGCTCGTGATAGACATTTAAGACATTATCCGTGTACAATACATTTTCTCGACGATACGGAACGAACATTTCATGTTGATGTAAGAGAAATAGATGAATTTTATTTTGAATTTTTTATTTTATTTTCTCCTACCCATGAGGGAAATTTTGTCAACATTTCACGATGTTGGGATCGTGCAGTTACAATATCAAAATATGTGGTCACGTATGAATTTTCTATAATTTCACACACATTCACAAGCAAGAATTTCTTTTCACGTGTGTCCATCCACCGTTTTACAACTTTCACTTGTGACAACACGTGAACTACTCACAGAAACTGTAACACGTCATATTTTTTCGCACGTGTTCACACGTGATTTTACCCCATGGGTGAAATGATGGTAATATCAAAACGAAAATTCTGATTACGAGCATGCATGTATCACATAATCTATTTGAGAACAATTTTATTCTAGGCTAAAATATCTTTACATTTGTCAACAAATATATTTTTGAAACTCTATGATAGTTAGACTAGAAGAATGTTAGAATATAAGAATGAAAATGCACTTTTTTTCTGAGATCCTCGTATTTATATCATTGATCAAATTTAGTATTAATTTTATCAATAGAAGATTTTATATATGTGTTATTAACTATATAAAATTGAAAAATATAGATAAAAATGTGATAGTAATATTTTCTTAAATATTTATATTTTCTTCTATTTTTAGCGTCGTTGTAAAGGAATAGATTTATTAAATGAAGTATATGATTATCTTGATTTAAGTGAACGAAAATATTTTGGTTTATTAATTGAAGATTTAACACAAGATACATCTTATCGTTGGCTTGATCCATTAAAAACATTAAAAAAACAATTTAATACAACAAGTCCATATCATTTATATTTTAAAATAAGATTTTTTGTATTAGATCCTGTCAAACTTGAAGAAGAATTTACAAAGTATGTTTTCTATTCTATTTTAATTTATAATTGTTTTTAATTCGATTTATTGATTGTTTCTTTTTAGATATTTGTATGTATTACAAATAAAGAAAGAAATTTTGAGTGGAAAATTATGGTGTGCAAGATCAAAAGCATCACTTTTAGCCAGTTATCTTGTACAAAGTATGTTAATAATAATAAATTTTTATATTTTTCAGTTTTTTTATGTTTTTTTTCAAATAGGTGAGCTTGGTGATTATGATGCTACTCAACATCGTCCAGGCTATGTGTCAGATTTTCGTTTTGTACCATTTCAAAATCCAGAATTTGAACATGAAACAGAAGAATATCATAAAAAACACATGTAAATAGAGAATTTTATGAATGAATGACTTTTCATGGTTTCTTCTATTATTTAGTGGTTTTAATCCGGCTGAAGCAGAATTAAATTATCTAAAAGTTGTTAGTACATTGGATATGTACGGTGTTGAACTACATAAAGCGTGTGTCAAAGTATGTTACTAGAGATTCAATATTTTAAATAAAAATAAAAAATATATTTATTTATTTTCTATTTTAGGTATCAAATACGACAGATGTGAATACTGTTGAACTTTATTTGGGTGTTTCAGCTATTGGAATATCCGTATTTCAAAATTCAACAAAATTAAATATATTTGCATGGTAATTTGTTATTTAATAGTTTTATTATATTTAGTTAGTTAAATTATTTTTTTCTTAAAGGGATCGTATTACAAAAATTTCATTTAAAAGACGAACATTTTATGTTCAATTGGTTAAAAATCTTGTAAGTATTCTATTTATATTAGTCACTAATATTTGTTTGTTGTTTTTTCATCTTAAAGATACTTATTGAAAGTACCATTTTAGATATTACTTTCAAAATGTAAATATCATTAGTCGCTTTTGAGTCTATTTTCTTTGTTTTTTTTTTCATTTATCTACTTACTAACTATGTCTATTTCAACCCTACCAAGATATACACGAAAATATTTTTGCTATGCAATTTTAGATCAGAGAAAATAATTTAAATCTTCTAAAGAGATGAAATTATCTTTCATATAGAAAAATATTAGAAAGCGTGCTATATTTTTTGCTTTGAGATTTTCCATTTGAAATAAGTTACCTATAACTTGTGTTCCTTCTAGCCTTTAGACGAAGCGCCTACTCATTTTCTTATCATGGTAAAAAAAACAACAACATACACAAATTAATTTGCTTTTCTAATTAGAGCGCATGTGATACTTGTTTTGTTATGTTGTTTGTTCAATGTGTATATATATATATATACAGCGCATTTATTTTTCTCGTGGTAGTTCTTTTTGGATTGATTGTGAAAAATTTTCAACTGACACATTTAAATTCTAAATGTGCATGTTAAAAATTTTATTGGTGTGCTGTTTTTGCTATTGCTGCTTATTACAGTTCAATTTGCAAATATTATGTGTTTGAGTTAAAATAAAATAAATTATGCATGAAAAATATTTTCAATCAAATATTTTGTTTTTTGTTCTATAATTTTTTTCTTTTTATAATTTTAGAATTCACAAGAAGAAAATTCTCTTGTATTCACATTAAGAAGTTATCGATCAAATAAATATTTATGGATTTCATGTGTTGAACATCATAAATTTTTTCGTTTAAATACCCTTCCATCTTCGCCTAGACGATTTTTTCCATTTGCAAATAAATTTTGGCACAGGTAAATGATTAAATGTTACTACATATTAAAATTAAAATTTCAATTTTATTTTTTTTACTCTTGTATTTTAGTGATACCAATGAATCGAATGATATTTCATTTGTTGATGGTAAAAAACGAATTGAATCAACTCAAAAACCATTTGAACGGTAATATTTATTTATTCTTAAATTCAAAAGTTAGAATTAAACATAAATGTTCGTTACTAATTAGAGTGTCAAGTCGTAGAAGTGTACGTAATGTTCAAGCAAATTTATCATCAACATTACCATTACCGTCTACAACATCGACGTCATCGACATCACAAAATACGAACAATAATAAAACGATTGTATTTCTATCAGCATCATCGATTTCTCTACAAAAGTCAGATAATAATAATAATCAACCACCGCCTAAACCGCCACGTCAACCTATTTTACATGTAAAAAATACGAATCAACCTATGCATCATACAATACCACACGAGACAAGTACAACAATTCTTGAAGCAATCGATTATAAACCGAAGAATGCGACACTACCTCGTATCAAGTAAGATTTATCGTCATAAGAAATATTTGAGAATGAAAGTCATAAAATATGTGTTTTATTTTTTTATTATATTTTAAAGTGCACATTCGTCCCATCCTTTACAATCGAGTGAAAACACATCATCGACTAATTTAAATGGAACTAACAGTTTATCTAATACATCAACAATGAAAAAGGTATAATTTTCTAATTTAAAAAATTGAATATTTGAAAATATTTTTTTATTATAATTATTCTTTTAAGCTTAAATCTGTTCAACAACAATTAGATAATGATCTTGTTTTAATCAAACTTAGTGCTGATAATGATGGACGATATGGTTTTAATGTGAAGGTAATTATTCATATGTTCGATATTCATTTGAAATAATGTTTAAAATATCGATTTGGTTAGGGTGGTGCTGATCAAATAAATCCAATACTTGTCTCACGTGTGGCATTAAATACTCCTGCGACAAATTCTGAGCCACCACTAAACGAAGGAGATCAAATATTGAGCATTAATAATATAAATATATCAAAACATACACATGAACAAGTAATTTATAATTTTATTGATACATGGAAACAGTTAAGTTATAATATCATTTTCTTTACTTTACTTTAGGTTGTAAATATGATACGACAATCTCGTGAAAAGCCCAATGGTGAATTGATATTGTTAGTGCGTCCAAGCAGTAAGTTGAGTTTGTTGAAAAGATATAAGCAATTATTTATGGTTGTTATTGTTTGTTTTTTTAAGAATTTGTTACATCCTCTCATTCAAATCACGATGAAGAAGAGATATACGACAATGAATTAGATTCATTTCATGATTATGTACGTTTAGATACATTAGAAGAATCATTACAATGTTTAAAAAATGATTTAGCCAATGGACGATTAATTGAACAATATGAGGTAAATACAAGAATTGATTCCTTATTTAAGGTGAAAAATTTTATGGCAGAAATCAAGATTAAAATCACCTTTTTACGTGTTGAAATGACCATTTCAAATTGAGACGTTTCGTCTTTATTCTAAAGACATCATCAGTCA